TCCCTTCCTGGTCACCAGAGGACACAGGGATCCCCAAGATGAGGTGGGGGTAGATGATGCAATTGAAGAAAAGAGAGGTTAAATCGTAAAGTTCCATGTCCTGTCCTCATTTTGAAACCCTTGTTGGGTGCCTGACTTTGCAGCTTACTGATCTCTGCCATTTGGTTTGAATGGGGCACGTGGCAGTGCATCCACAGATGTGTTGGTGAGAGAACACTAATATTAGAAAGAGGGGGTGGGAAGGGGAAAAGAAAAAAAAGCTGCAGAACAATTTTATTTTTTTTTTGTTCATCTCTTATCTCTTTATCTGCCTGAATAACCTGCATTGGCTGATTTGGGATTCTGATGACATAGTTATTGCCTTCTCCTTTCTGGGGGTAGGCAGAAGGAAGTGGGCTAGAAATTGAAAGATCAGCTCCTAAGCTCAAGCCAGGTAAGCCAGCCACGTGCTGCAGTGGGAAGTATGGTAGTGGTTGAACTTACCTATAAAAAGGAGACCACAACTGGCTCTGAGATACACGCAGAGTGGAAAAGGTCTCTGAGAAGGAGAGCTCTTGTGCTCTGCCACCGTGTGCATCTGCTGAAAGCAGCAGAGACGTTGCCATGGCATTTGCCAGCTACACTGTGGTGGTAAGTACCCATCTTTGGTGTAAGTGTTGTGAGAGACTTGCTGCGAGAGAAGCAGGCAGGGATCCCAGGCAGGGATCTAGGAGCAACCTGTACTGGTCTTAGTGGGAGTTGAATGGGATGCTGAATCTGTCTGATACAGGGTTTGCAAATGGGTTTGGTGCTTAATGACAAGGAAGCAAAGGGTGAGCTGTTATTTATCTGTAAGGGCAGCACTGCTGCTGTGGGATGGGAAGGACTGTCCTTTTCTCAGACAATTCCTGGTATGTCATTGTGAAGTAAGTGTCTGTGTATTTCATTGTCAACCTGGGCAGTATTTGCAGCACTGTCAACTCTTGTTATTTTATTAAGGGCTTTGCATTTATCTGTCTTCTTTTCCTAAAAGTCCAGCTCCTGGAAATGGCCCAAGAATTTCAGATATCATAAAGAAAATGGTTATTTCCAGCAACTGACTGCTAAGCAACCAGCATATGTCCTACCTAGGTTCCTAAACTTAGGCATGAGGTCAGCCAAGTCCTTACCTCACCTTGTAGATTATAAGACATTGCTGTTTGACTGTGGAAGAGGACCTTTCAAAGTTTATTGGAGAGGTGCTTTTATTGGTGCAGAGCCAAGTCTAAATCAGAATTTGAATCCGACTTAAGCATTCGTAGTGATGAGTATTCTTAGCATCATGACACTATTTGTACATGCTGAGCTGTCTCACCCAAACAGAAGTGTGAGGATCAGGCATTGCCCAGCACTGTCACAGCAATGATGAACTCAGGATAGGGCTTATGTTCTGTATCCTTCTCCACTTGCTAGTTATATGGTCCAGTCTAGCCAAGATGTGGCTCTTTGTGTTCTCTCTCGTGACTGAGCGGAGCCAATGACACCTTCTTCTCTCCCAGTTCAGGTCACTGCTTTTGGTGCTGGTTCTAGCACTCACTGTAAGGAGCTCACCCCATGGGAGAGCAGCTTGGCCTCGACCCAACAAGAACAGTGGCTCTGAGAGGCTTAGTGAAGATTGCCTGAACCAAAACAATCTCAAATTCCCCACAACAGTGAAAGTTGACATTCGTTTCAGCAATTCAGATCATGACTTCAGGACGGTCCATGATGTCAGCAACCGATCCCTTGCTCCCTGGGATTACAGGTAACTGTTTAGTTGTTACCTAAATTGCAATGACACACATTTTTAGTGGTGAACAATAGCCAGTTCTCAGTGTGTACTTGTAGTCCTGTGAATATTGCAAACACTTCTTGATGTTCACTTCCATTTTAAAGTTGGATGAGATTTCTCCCAAATAAATTGTTTGCAGTGCAAGGGAACATCATTAGAATAATTATGAATAATCTTGTCAATCTTTGTCAAAGAATTATTCCTCTAGGAAAAGAAAAATGTCCACAAATTGTAGTTTTACGTTGTCATAGCTGAAATAAGTTTTTGAATGCTGAAATGAAACCAAAACCGGTTAAAAATGAGTGGTCCACTTGTTATGAGCTCTGTATTTCACCCAGCTCCACTCTAGCAAATATTAAAGAATGATAATAGCAGTGTTAACATCCCAAAATTGATTCCATCTCTAGGAAGTCACTCAAAAAACGGTGAGGACAGGGAAATTCTTCGGCCTTGTTTCATAATGTGGATACATTCGTCAATAATACAGCTCTTTGATGGAGATAAACTAGAAGATCCTGCCAAAATGTGTTGTGCAAGTGCATCAAACCCATTTGTGTCTCCATCTGCAGGCTGGATGAGGATCCCAACCGCTTCCCCCAGGTGATCGCTGATGCCAAGTGCCGCCTCTCAAGCTGTGTCACCCCCCTGGGGCAGAAGGACCACAGCCTCAACTCCGTCCCCATCCAGCAGGAGATCCTGGTCCTGCGGCGGGAGCAGCGGGGCTGCCTGCCCACCTACCGCCTGGAGAAGAAAGTCATCACCGTGGGCTGCACGTGTGCTGCTCCAGTCATCCAACGCCAGTCCTAGGAGGGGTCAGGAGAGAGAGCACAGGGGCAAGAAGGAATGTCATTGGTCAACATCCCTTTGGAGAAATCCCGCAGTCACCCACCCTGCATCCCAGGAATTCAACATGGCATTTGCTTCCCAAATCTGAGCAAGTTACCTCCCTCAAGTACTGGCTCTTGCTGTTGTTCATCTATGGATTTAAAAATGGGAATCACTGGTTGCTGGTGATGGGAGGCAGAGAGGGGGATGGAGGAAGAGTTTTGTTTGTGGCTCTAAGCAGGGAGGGAGTAAAGCAGTGCTTTTTCATTTTAATTTTAATTTTTAATTTTTTTTCTAGTGAGACTTAATGTCTGTTTTGTGGGTCAAATGAGTTACAGTTCCAAAAGTTGTTCTCAGCAGTAAATTGCCTTTATGTATATATGCCAACTAGCACTGCTACACAAAATCCCTCCTCTTGCCCCTTCTCCCTCCCTTCCTCATTCCCCATCCCCGTTCCCTTCTCCTGCCATCCTTGCTCACTAATATATTTCTAGTGTAAAACTGATGTAAATGCCACCAGGCCTTATACTCTCATCACACTTTGGATTTTTGTCACTCTTGGTCCATGGGGAACAATGATTGATTTATTCCAGAGATAGAATTGAGAAGAGAGAACTAAGAGAAAATTGACAGAGGATTGAGTCCACTTGCATTCACCATTAAAGTGGCAAGGAACTAATGAGAGTTTATATTTATACCTTCTATTTATGACCATATTTATGGCTTTGTATGTGCTCAGAGTATCAAAAAATGGTAAATGTTCATCGGTATTTATTCAATAACTTATCCACTGAATAAAATTTGTATTTTATTTAAAATAATGTTGTTTAACCAGAGCTCAAAATGGAAGCAGACACAGAGAATGGGTTGGTGCTGCAGTAGCACTGAAGGATTTCAGCAGAGATCAGGCTTTTTCCTGTGTAGTGATATGAGTAAGAGGGGGGGCAAGAGAACTTGCAGCCTAAATGGATGAGAAGATGCAAAAAAGAAGGCTGAAAGGGGTGAAATGAGGTTATATAGGCAGTGCTGGGGGAGTTGGCAATGGAGCCAGGTTCTCTAGACCTTGGGGATGGTCTCTGGGGATGTAGGGAAGAGAGGTGGGAGACATCACATTGCAGGGCTGGCGCTGAAATTTGGTATGTGGAGACTCTTGCCTGGATCATGTGAGCTGGGAAAGGCTTGTCCTATCCTCTTCCCAAGATGTCCTCCTCATATGTAACCTCCTACACCAGCTAGATGGTTTGCTGAGCAGGAATACAGGGAAATATGCCAAGGTGCCTTTATCTCACTGCACTTTAACAAAGTATTAGATGTTGGGCTTGAAGTGGTGAATGGGGATCCTTTCACATTAAAGGAACAAGAAATAAGCACCTCCAGGTTTATTCAGTAGGGTTGCCTACTGAACTGAGGTACACTAACTCAGGAAGGTGTTCTAACTGGAGAAGGGAAGGTTTGGGGAGAACGTAAAGCACCTTCCAGTACCTGAAGAGGGTACAAGAAAGCTGGGGAGAGACTTTTCACAAGGGCATGGAGTGATAGGATGAGGGGGAATGGTTTCAAGCTGCAAGAGGGGAGATTCAGATGAGCTATTAGGAAGAAATTCTTTAGTGTAAGGGTGGTGAGACACTGGCCCAGGTTGCCCAGAGCAGCAGTGGCTGCCCCATCCCTGGCAGTGTTCAAGGCTAGGTTGGATGGGGCTTGAAGTAACCTGGTCCAGTAGGAGATGTCCCTGCCCATGGCCAGGGGTGGGTTGGGACTGGATGGTCTTTAAGGTCCCTTCCAACCCGAAACTTTCTGTGATTCCCTGATTGAATGAATGACCCTTTCTCTCCTTTAGCTACACATGGAGTAAGACTCCTATTTATTATTTTACCAGATTGCTGCAATGCTGCTTCTTCTTTTTTTTTTTTTGACATGACTCATTTCTCATCCAGATCTGAGCCAGATTCTCAGACCTCTGACTTTGGTTTCTGCTGGTGGAGGTTTTAAGCCTGTACTTCCTTGCTCACCTGCATTTAAACCAGGGTAAACCTATGTGAAAACCTTGTATTTAATTTTGACTGTGTAGAAGCTTCCTCAAATTAGATACACCTGGTGTAGGTAGACACTAGATTTCTTCCACTGAGTAGGTCAGATGAGTCGTTGGGTCTAAATAACTTAGTTGGTACTTGCTGGTTGAGTTGGGTCTATTGTCTGCCTGCAGGTCACGGGGAGCCAGTTCAACAAGCCATGGGTAACCAGGTGGGGAAACCGCCTCATTCAGTTACAAGCACTTGTACTCATTTGTGGCAGTAGCTGTCTTGTTATGACCACCAAGCTTTTCATGTGGTGGAGCACAAACCCATGGAGGTGTCAGCTGCAGGCTCTTGCCTAACACCATCTCTCCTCTTACAGTAACCGCTGACCAGGAAATCACACGCTGTGCACCCTGGTTCCTACTCCTGACCTACTTCTTGAAGAACTGAGCCCGTGGGGTTGTTGTCTCCTGTTTTGCAGGGAAAAATCAAGCCTACATTTCTCTCTTCAGACATCATTGGGTGTTGGGTTTGTGACAGCCAAACGGGTGCAAGCTCCTGTGCTGATGCTCTTAAACACCCACCAGCTCAGCTTAAGAGTTGTTCTAACTGGATGAAGGATGAGGTACCTGATTAATGAAATGCAAAGACAGCTAATTAAGGAAGTCGTACCCATGGGTCATGAGGTGTTGCAGCTATCAACTGCAAACCACACACCTCTCTGTAAAACTCCTGGTTGTACATGGGGATTGTTTCTAAATAAAACGATCAACAAGGGTAATTTCCTTCTAATGGCATAATTCTTAGAGTGTTATTGGTTGTAAATATGAGTCTGCTTATCTTTTAGATGCTGGCTTTTGTGATGAGGTAGGTGGCTGGCTTTCATTCCCAGCAATCTAAGAACGTGGCAAATGAGTTAATGCTTCTTGTAAACAACACAGTCATATTGTCACCAAGAGCAGCAAGCACAGTTCACAGCTGAGGACCAACCTCTGCCAAATGTTTGGTGTGTTTTTTTTCTCCTTGCAGCAATGGACCCAGTCTTTGGATGCCCAGCTGGGCCTCTCTGGCTCTGAAATGTAGCGTTGAGCAGCCTTCAGGAACTTGGTTGTCTTACCAGGAGGAAAAGACAGCTGCAGGTGTAGTAACAGTCCCCACAGTGTCTTCTTGTAGCCTGCTAGGCTAAACACCCTTCATGCACAGCCACGTGGCCTTTCCTATTCCTTCCCTCTTCTGCTTGTCTCTTACTAATGTCCTCTCCCTGTCCCCCTGCTCACTCCTCCCTGTGTCCGTGACTGTTCTGGCAGCTCAAGCAGGGATCTCGTGATGCAGCAGCTCTTCATCAGTGTGGGCTGGGAGGCACAGCATGATGAGAACCTGAGTAGATGCCTCCTCCCAGACCTGTGCATGTGTTGGCCTGCATGTGCAAGTCGGCCTTCTTTGGATCCTTCAAAACAGGTTCCTGGGGCTGCTAAAAAGGACTACAGACCAGGTCAGCTCATTCCACCAAACCATTGCTTTCAAAAGTGCACAGAAATTAAATATACAAAGAATGCAAAGGTTGCAAACTAAAAAGTTGAAACAACCCAAGAACTCTTTATGTTTGTGATTGGTAAGCCAGATGAGCAATGGCTTGACAATCCAGAAGATGACACGTCTTGTTGAGAGCTAGACCTACCAGACAAATTCAAGGGGGTGAATGACCTGCTGGTAAGTCCTGTGGGGATCTGTAGTTTGGTGCCAACACGATGGGTACAGATGATGGAGGTGAGTTTCCATATCAGCTGTGTTTTGGGTATCCTGGGAGATGATCTGCCAGATCAGATCAGAATCCTGCTCCCATGTCACCATCACTGAGTAAAATAAGGGATTTGTCTTGATCTCCCTCCCCTGTCTCATTCTCCTTCCTCCTCTTTTCTCTCTGATATGATTGTTAACCTTGTCAAGCTTAAGACAAGTCTAGGTGTGTGGGCCAAGTCTGCTTCTTCTACTGCACAAGTTCAAAGCAGTGACAAAAAAATCCAACCTGCTTGAAATGTCTGTGAATGCCTGATGCTGCTTGGCAGGCTCAGAGCTGCTGGTGGGGATGGGACCATGTGCTGGTACTGGCTTTTGGGCACTGAAAAGACATAAGCCAGACTCAGCACCAGAAACATACCACACTTTCTGTCTCTGCTACTCATGCAGACATTTTCCATCTTTTTTAGTTATTCTCCATACTTCCAAGGCTGGATAGTAATAGCAGCCTGAAGTCCTCATCTCCTCAGATAAGTCCATTCCTTCTTTCTGTGTAACATTTCCTTTTTTTTCCTTTCCCCCCACCCAGTGTAATGTATTTATTTATTTATCTTTAGTTTTTCCTTCAGAAAACCAGCTCAGGTTTTCAACCTTTTCCTGCAGTTTCAATAAAAGACTATAAATATGTTGGATGCTCTTTGAGGGTCACTGACTGAGTAGGCTCTACTCAAAATACTGTTTTCTGGGCACAGCTGTTTATGAGTGAGTTTTAGGGGTTTTACCAGTACAAAGTCTTGTGTTTCTGTTTTAGCTGCATTCTTAGTAGGCACAATGTGTTTGTATCATGATCAAGGTTCCCTGTTCCAGTAAATTAATAGAATTGGTGCATCTTCTCTCTTATCATAGAATAATAGAATCATTCAGGTTGGAAGGGACATTAACATGCCCCTATAATTTGTTGGGCTTGCTTTTTATTTCAGACTTCTGCAATCTGTACTCCTGACCTCCTTCATGCTGTAAGGCTTGCCAGTCAGCTGAAGCTTTCTCTCTGGTACCTGTCCAGCTTGCTTTGATAACTGGTGTTGATAAGCACGGTTAACTAATCACTGATCACAAATCCAATCTCAAACTTCCCTTTCTGCTGAGCTTTACTCACAGCTTGCCAAGCAATCTGGCTGCTAAGCTACTGCTGCTCAGAGTCTGCAAACTGACATGAAACTGAGACAGAGA